TATAATTTTTTCTTTTTTGTCAAATTTTCCTGAAATGGTCCGTATTCGAGAAAGACAAAATGTGCAAAATTCTGATTTTTAAGAAAATTGTTATACTAAAAGTTGTTAGCGATATCGATCTCTATTATTTTTGTTTTTACATGATTTTTCTAAAATGAACCGTAATGGAAAAATTGAAGGAAGAGTGCACTTTTTCAGTATTTTCGTTTTCAATGAATATCTATAGAAAAATGTTTCGAGTTAGATGTGTATGGAAAATGTATATATTTAGTTTATCCTCTAAACATTTATAGATGTGCTACAATAGGTTGTACAAAATAACCGGAAAAAGCCCATAATAACCAGATAGGCAAGTCATGTGTTGGACACATCAGTTTTTTAAATTTAGAGATAAGACGGATATTCTAATCTTTATAAAAAATGATTAATTTTTCAACATTCAATTCAGCTTATTGCCTTAAGGTAACAACAATTTTCAATTTAATTCAATACAATTTTAATTGTTTAAGTTTGGACGGGTTAAGCATGATTCAATTCATGGTTATCAATTGGATAGTCTGAACATTTAATTAAGTAATACTTAAGTCTAAATGAATAAATTTAAAATGTCAAAATTACATCTCATTCCACAAACGAGATATCATTGAAAATATAATTGAATGTCCTTTCAAACAAGATGTCACTCAACCCCACTTTACATTTAAGATTTTAGGGTGTACCCTGCTCAGGGGGAAAGGTAAAGGTTTGCAAATACGTCTAAAGGATTTCCCTCTCGAAAATTAAATTGATGTATTCAAGCAATTTTTTTAAAGACATTAGGAACCCTAAACTTGAACCGTTTCGTTTTTAATGGCCCACCCTATTTAAAAAATGTACTAGTTAACAGAGCTGGGTAAGTCCTAGTTAAAAAGTAATTAATAATTACAATTACTTTTTTTCATGTAATTTGTAATTGTATTTGAGTACTTTTTTCTTCTTCAAAGTAAATTGGAATTGTAATTGCAGCAAAATCTGTGGAGGAATTGTACTTTGTAATTATAATAATTTATATTATTTAAATTGTCTAAATACAGTTACTTGTAATAAGTACAATTACTTTTCCAATTACAATTACTTTTCCAATTATAATTACTTGTTCCAATTACAGTTACATTTATAAGTACAATTACATTTTTTAATTACAATTACTTTTAAATGCGTGTTTATGAGATGCACGTGATATAAAAACAAGACATTTTCAGGAAACAGGAAAATGTTGTGCCGTGAAGCAGTGAAATTGTTCAACCCAAGATAATAACAGTAAGGGGTAAGTAGATATATGTAGATATTCTTATTTTTAAGACGTATTTTGTATTTATAATATTATAAACATAATTTATGTTGTAGAAACATTATAAACTAAGGAAATATAGTATGAAGTGGTGCAAATAGCAGTTTTTATGAGGTAAATACCAAAAACTACTTATTTATGTTTTTTACATTGAAATAAAGGATTACCTATTTTAATAAACGTATTCTAAGTTACTTTAGCGTTACAAGTATTTGATTTTAATGTAGAAAATGCAATATTTTAATTAAATTAATAGCACTTGTAATGGAATATAAATATATTTTATGTTATAAGAAATTAATTGATGATCTATAACCAAATTTAAGTAAAATGTGTTTCATTTTTGTTTGCACGAACGAGATACAGAACGATACATTTTAGATTATTCAATATAATTTTAATATTATGTACAGGGTGATTCATTAAGAATGGCGACCGGCCGTATCTCAGAATATCTCGAAGTAGATTTTTTTTTTAAAGGAACGCAAAACAGGTCGAATTTTATTTCAAGGGGGACACCTTTCTATAATATCCTCAACTGTCATATATATCATTCCTCTCCCCTACGTCAATCTAAATAAAACAATTTAAATAGGGAAAGTACCAAGTATGATCCATCGTTGGAAAGGTAATTTAATGGGGAATTCAGCAATATGTTCATTGCGTTCCGTTTAATTTTAGCGCCCTCTGGCGGGATAAAAAATTATTACCTATGGTAAAGTATGACACTTCATTTGAAAGTTAATTTTATTAGTACTACAACCAAAGATATTATAAATAAACCCTTTTTTTGATTTCAATGAAGGTGTAACACCTTCGGTTGTACAAAAAAATGGGGTACAGTTAGAAAAGTGTTACAATATCTCGATGATTTAAGAACAAAAATTACGATTCTAGATAGCTACCCCTTGATGAGAAGTGTTTTTTAAATATAATACGGCACTTCCTTCTTCTGGGCCCGAGATTATTCTCCTTTGCCACAATTGTCAACGCTCCCAGAAGGCATGCGCTGTAAGACAGAAATTTTGAAAAATTTGTTGTTATGAAAAGTAACAATGTAAACATTTATGAATAATTATAACTAGATCTTTCAAATCAGGCGTCATTACTTTTTGCCTGCTTGATGAAAAGTAAAAAATATTAATAATTGTACACCAATTATTTTTCTTACATTCTGTGGTATACTTTTGTTAAAAAAATATGTTTTAAGGGTATGATATTTGAAAAATTGGTTTAAAACTTTTATAAAGTATCCCAAGCTTAAACGACAAAAATAAAAAGGTATCACATAATTTTTGACGAGAGTTGATTACCGCACCGAATGTAAATAAAATGTTTAGTGTTAACTATTTTATCTTTGTGATTAAACAGTCCCAGACTAATGATGCCCGATTTGTATGGTATGATTAGGTAAAATATAAAAGTACCTATGCGTAGATACACGAACGTTTGTATTTTTGTTCCAAATCATAAACTTTTAGAAGTTCACATTTTATTATTAACTTTGTTATACTACTTATCGATTTTGTCTTTTCCCTTAAATTAAGAAGACCTTAAATGGTACAGAAAATATTGCACTTAGGGCTGGTTGTATAAAGGTTACTTAAAATTTGGCTCAGTTTTAGATGATACATGTCAATTTCCGATGCTATATGTGCAGTCTATTGTTTGGGGAAACAAGCACTAAGTGCTAAATGGTGTTTAGACTGTACTAATGCCATACAATTTGTCATGTGTCACCTCAAACCGACTTTAACTTTAAGTAAGATTTATACAATCTGCCTTTAAGATATCTTTAACTTTAAGAAATCTTTAAGAAAGACGTTGCAAATGGGTGTTAGTTTGACATTTTGAATTACCTCTTTAAACAATTTATTTGTACCGGTCCGGTTGGTTCATGATTCCTCAATTCTATCATAATTTGTTGTTTTATCGACAAAGTAATTAAAAAAGTAATTATAAAAGTAATTGCTAATTCCTTTTTTCATGTTATTGTAATTAAATCAATATAATTCCTATTTTTACAACATGTACTTTGTACTTGTAATTAATTTCTTTTTGGAAAAAGTACTTTATAATTGTAATTATTTTTAAAGTACAGCTCTGCTAGTTAATTGGCAGAAAATCAAAATTATCAGAACATAACAAATTGTTCGTCCTCAAGCAAGTCTTAAACGTGTATGGACTTATGGTATATAGCTTTTGTCCTAACAAAAACTAATGTCGATATTATTCAAAATAAAGTTCTCTGAAAGATTGTGTATGCTTCCTGGTATATTAGGAATATATAAATTTATATGGAGATCTTAAGACAGAGACCGTTAAAGAAGAAATCCAACGATATGCCATAAAAAAAACTAGCAGCTGGGCTTTATATAAGTATGGACATCGAAATGCTTCAGATCCTCGACCAGCATGTAATAGAAAGAAGATTAAAGAGGACAAAACGTTCAGATATTGTGTGAGTTAAAAGTGAGTGTTTAAAAATTAGAGCGTAGTGATATTGTGTAAGTTTTATCCAAAATAAAGAATACATTAAAATCAAGACAACAGTTGTTACCTGAGAGACACTAATGGGTGATCTCTCAGTTCTAAGCGTTTACTAATAGATCTTTGTAGATCAGGTGTAATATAACGCTCATTATTAAAAAATATTGGTGTTTTCACTATAAAAGTGAAATGTGTCAAATATGTATATTTTTTTAAAGATGTTCAATGAAAATCAGATAATGATATCTCAAATACTTTTTAAATTATGTTTTTAAAGGGGATTCAAATACTCTTATACTTAGTCAGTAGTGACAGTCATTGTCGAAATAAGAGTTAGAAACTGTCACAAAAAAATATTTTTTTCTAATTTTGACATATTTATAAAGTGAATTTTTTTGTAATCGCAGCAAGTGTTACAAGGATCTAATTTACGTAACCAGTTGCATAATGTTGAACATAATGAAACTGGTTCTGAAAAGTTTATTACGTCACGAGTTGCACAAAGAAAAAAATAAAAATGAACCTTTTTTGGTTTTAAAATAAATAAATACCTACATTATTACTGAAAGTTTATATCAAAAAAGAGCAGGTTGACTTATAAAAAAAAATTGATTAACTTACAACCTAGTAATAATGTTGTTTTGGTCCTTATTTTCCACTCTTAATCAGTACAAAATAATTACAACACAATACACGACAAAATAACCCTCTTTCTGGAAAACTAAATAACTTGAACAAGCACTACAACTCGTTGAGAATAAATTAATATGATGGTATATTTATCAATGAAAAGAGTGCAGTAATGCATATGCAACTAACAATACAAAAAAGTAATATTGGTTACCTAGATGTCATTAACATTTAACCAAAACACAATTTTATAAATAATCTAGTCAAGATTAGAAAAAAATGTATCACGTTACAAAATGCCGTTTTATGTAAATCGTTCATGTTGCGGGATCTCGCCCTGCTCCTCCCGCAAAATATTCATCTGTTACATAAAATAAGGAATTTCGTAAGTGGTTGCATAAGTAGTTATTAACTAATTTAAAAATGTATTTTTAATTTTTTAATATTATGTATTTTTAATTTTTAAATATTATGTATTTTTAATTTTTAAATATTATACTAGGTACCTATGGTCAGGAAATATATCAATATTAAAAAAAAATAATATTACCCTGGAAATTCACCGCTGATGTTAACTCTGTAGGCTTGAAATACTTTTTCCCATTCAAATTTGGCTTGAGAAAATTCTGCGTTATAAGTTAGTGAAGTACAAGCCGGAAGACAATCACAATTGGATGTAGATTGGTTAAGGGCATAATCCATATTTCTTAAACCTGAATCCACTTCAAGTTCTAACAATTCACCTAAAAAATACAATAAATGGGAATATTAAATATTAGAGATTAAATATATTTTTTTATATTAAAATCTAAAGTTATAAGTCATTTTAAAAAACCGACTTCAAAAATGTGCAGATGCCATCACCACATCTTTGCCAAATTTATAGGGGACCACCTTTGAGGTACCCCTTTACTAACAAAAAAGAATCATAGAAATCGGATAAGGTGGTAAAGAATTACCGCTAAACATACATAAAAAAATGAAGAGTTTGAGGATTTTCTAATGGACCCAATTATTAGATTTTGACCATATTTATATGGGACCACCTCTGAAGTACCCCCTTTTTAACAAAAAAAAAATCATTGAAATCGGACACTTTGTTAAAGAATTTTCGCTGAACATACATAAAAATATTACGACGAACTGAGGACCTCCTCCTTTTTTGAAGTCGGTTAAAAATAAAAGTGATTGTCAAAAATAATAAAAATAGCATCCTTGTGGTATAAAATGGTGAATTCCTAAAGTATAGCTTTGGCAGGAGATGATTTTTGAATATTTTTAAATTTTAATCGAGCATTCGTATGTGTTAAATCATAAATTTTGTTTAATAAAACTGCAATTAATTAACTAATTGATTAAAATAAACTTACTTTGAGCTTGAAACATGCACATCTGGCTACCTGAACCACAAATTTTCGTATTTTTTTCATCTAAAATAAATAAATAAATAAATAAACAAATCCAAAAATTTTAATGGTTAAATGCTTACGAGGCATATGATAAGCAACACAGTCACATTTGGCTAGAGTAAAATTAGTTAAACATTCTATTTGACAGTTTTGTTGCGTATAACTCTGGTAGAATGACAAGTATCGCTCTGAAGGAAAGTAGCACTGTCGCCTTTGAGGATCATAACCACGTAAACCTTCTGATGTCGTCATCATATCAGGTCGAACTGAAACTACGACTTCTTGGTTTAAAGGAGCTCTGAAGAACTGCATGGATACTCGTGGGACTTCAGCTGGATGGTGAAGAAGAATCTAAAATATTTTTTATTGATGTAAATTAAAATAGGATTTGGTTATTTTATTATGTTATTTCTATTCTGTTCTGGGTTAGTGTCTATATAGTTGTTTTTTTTGTTATGGAGTAAGTTCCAATATGATAAACTTTTGTAGCTGAATGTATACAGTTAGAGGGTGGTTGTATGTATGAGTTAAGTAACTCAAAACTAAGTCATAGAGTCGAATTCAGTACTAAAAGTATATCACACGTAAGGATTTCACGACGTTTTGTTAACAATTTATAATTACATTCTTTCCTGAAATTTTGTTTTCCTAAAGATAAATTAACTTTCTTAATAATTGTAAAAAATCGTTTTTTAGAATTAATTTAATGACATGTTTATAGTAGCAATTTTATATATTATGATGTTTGTTTATTTTAAACAACAGTTTATTTATTAATAATTTATTTAAACACTTATTTATTTTGTAACACTATTATTCTAATTTATATATATTTCAAATGTCTTTAAACTGTTCACTATTTATCTTCACTGTCCATATAATAACTGATACAGCGTTACTCTCCACCAATATTTATATACCAATTTAAAATTATGGTAAAGGTTCCAGATTTCTCCTCCGCCAAACTAGTAATATCTCGTTATATTTGAAATAGACTAGAAACATTATCCCGTTGACTCCGGAATGTTCGTGAAAGTGCCTCTACCATAGTCGTCACATAGGTTTGGTCTTAACCCGAGAATAATGATCAAGGAGAAGCGACAGCTTGGTGTTTTTAGTGTACCGTTTTGTAACGCGCATGTGCGAAAATAAGTTGTGTATCACTCAAAATTATGTTATCTGTCAAAGTCAGTCCAAGTTGTGTTTAGTACGTGAGCAATGTTAAGTGATATTTTTTGGTGTTTGTTTTGTGTAGTAATAAGATGAATATTTTTACGCACTTAGGTATTCTAATGCAGATATAAAATGTGCCAAAAAAGTTACTAGGAAACTAAGAATTTTATCACATGCATAAATATTAAGTATATGATTTAATTATTTTTGACATTTTCATATGTAGATATTGTATTTTGTGAAATATATGTTTTCTTCTTTTAAATAAATTTAATAAACAATGAACTGGAGATTTTGTTTATTTTATTTTGAAATTATATTTAAAAAAATATAATAAATCCGCGTGTTTCAATTAGGATTGGTCAAAATGGGCGAAATCCCTTTATTATGGCTAAATTGTAAGGTACAATTATGTCAATATAAAGATGTTTTGCCCATTCATATTTACATTTATTGAATGAATCATACTGGAGTTGATTTTGGAAATATTGGTGCATACTTAAATAAGTACTATTTCAAAAAATTCGTCTATGCCCAGACAGCACACAGTCCAATGTACGTCCACTTTAGATCTATTTGAGGGTCAAAACGTCCATATCCGGGCATCCAGTGTACGTCCGTTTATGCTAATTAAATTGACAGCTGAATATTGATACCCAGAGAACGTCTGTTTTTGGACTTAATTTTAAGTTTAGTAATATTTTGACTTTCAGTGGACGTCCATCTTAGGTCATTATTTATTAAGCCTACCAGATAATAGTAATCTAAATCTATTACATTTCATTCTATCAGCGGAAGTTTGAAATCTTATTCAATTATAACTGTATCTAGTAAAAAGTGGTTCCTTGGTTGAGCTCGTCTAGCGATTAAAAGGGTAAAACGATAATGGATGTGTCGTGAGTTCGATGCCTGCTCAAGCGATTTTTAATTAAAAAAAAAATAAATGGTGTATAGCGGTTTGCGAAAATAATAAACAAATTATTAATAATATAAAATAGTGTGTGGTAAGTTGCGGTTCTGTAAAAAAAGTGGGAATGTGGTCTCAATGGAAATATAATCCTGGACGTTTTTTGAATGTTCAGTATTCGACGTCCAAATATATTCCAGAATTGAACGTCCTCTGAATGGTCAAAAGTGTGCCATTTGTATACTTCACTGGACGTCTATTGGATGTCGGAAGTCCAGAAAAAACTCATTCTTGGACGTCTAGACATCCAAAATTTTATATCGAATGGACGTCCAATTGACATATTTGTATTGTCTGGGTGATAGCCAGGCCAGGTATTTAACTCATACATAAACTGGCTTAACTTGGCGAGAAAACACTTGTTTATACAGAAATGAGTGATAAACTTGAAAGTCCTTTTAATATAATATAAATCCAGAAATTCTAAAAATATGTAAGTACTTTTTAAACCTAAAAGTTTTTGAAAATATAAACACATTGCAAATATTTAGTTAAATATCTTAAACTTAATGTCTTTTTAATTGTTACCTAAATTTTTTTTGGCACCCTTAATTTTATTTACCTTATTTTTACTTAAGGAAAAGGTAATTTAATTTAAATATGGGGATTTTATTACATTTTTAACAATAAATAAACCAAATATTGAACAAATTTTATAGATAAATTATAAAATAATAAACGTCTTTTACTTTTATAATAAATAATTAATTATTACATAATGAATTATATTTTGGTGCCGAAATTTCACCATTGCTATTAACCCTAACTACTTCAATGTAATTAAATCACATTACAACATTTGCGCATGGACTATAACAATGATTTCAGATAATTTGCCAAACTATTTCGCTCAGTGTAGAAAATAAGCATGTTTTCTCAGCGTGCTAAGTTGTGTATCAATCAAAGTCATGCTGTGAAAATGGTACATCCGATATCAAAGGCACCGACAGCTACTGTCGCTTCTCATTGATCGTTATTCTCGGGTTTAACTATGTATAATAATCGGACAAGTTGAGCCTCAAAGCCCAAATAAGACAGAGAGGGACTTGGAGGATTAGAGCATGACTGAATAATGAAATGGCTCACATAACACTATCTTAAACCTTTCAAAGTAGAACGAATAGCCCAAGCAATGAAGCATTTAGGACAGGTGTTACCTGTGAAGAAATATAATAAAGCTACAAATTGATATGTTGGTCCAATTCGATCTGTGAATTTGACTTCCTGATGTTCCCCTTTCAATTGCTCCTTAGCTAACTGGCTTGCATTTTAGGGGTATTTTTTTTTTTGATAGCGCTGCTCAAACAGGTAGTGTTAACTTAAAAATTCTTGTGCAGTCTTTATTTACAGTCAAATATCACAATTGTAGAGAGTGACTCACATTTTTAACATAGACCTTAGCGGATCTGAGTGGAAAGAAAATCGACGAGTCGGTTATTGTTAAAAATGATCTTCAGCATTTTAGAACGAATTGGATGTCACAAAAATTATTTTCTTAATTTAAAGATGCACAAGGTGAGGAAAACCAGCAATAATAATTATCGAATAAGTATATATAAATTATATACGAGCCCTGTCTTAGTCAAGTTGGCCCAACTGCCAAAAACCATGTTTTTTTAAAGAAATTTGCCATATTAACGAAAAACGCATTAAAAACTATAATATTTCAGATAACATATAATATGTATATTTAATTTTAGCCTAAAATAATTTTTTTTTGTAACAGAAAAAAAAAACAGATACATTAAAAAAACTGTATATTAAAAAAAAATTACGAAACCAAATAGGGGAGAGGGGGGTAAAATGATCCCCCTTAGAAAAAAACTCCTTAAAAAAGGGAAAACATTTTAAAATTTCATTTTAAAAGGATAAGTCCCTAAAAGAGCAATTTGTCTTAACAAAACACCACTTTTTTAAAAAATATCTTTATTCACTTCTAAAAATACACAAAATAAAAAAAAGCAAAGGTATCATTTTACCCGCATACTGGGGGTAAAACGATCCCTTCTATAAACAACTTAAAAATAATAATTTGCAAATATAGTATCAAGAAAAAATATCTTTAAAACCTAATATTTCTCTGAACTCTGGCTAACGCAAAGGGAACATCGGAACAATGTTCACAGATGAATTCATCTTCGTCTTCTTCTACCCCCGCACACAATTCGTGAGCCCATTCAAAACACTTTCTGCATTGAATCCATCCGTCAATTGAAGTGAAATATTCCTCGCAGCATTTCTCTGGTTGTCTTCTGAATCCGAAGAGTCGGAAAGAGTGTTTTTTATATTCTTTTGTTGTTTTGGTTTCTTCTGTTTGAGTGTCTTCTTATCATTTCCATTTTTCGTTTTAATTGTCTTTCCTTTGGCTTCTTTCTTGTTGATGGCTTTGTATGGCGTACTGGTTAAAATTGCGCTTCTACAATATTTCCTTTTTGTTGCGTTTCTCTTGCCTTGAATTTTAGGAAAAGGTTGACATTCTTGTGGTGTAACTATAAAAGATGAATTTATTTGTTCATCTCATTTTGAGTTAGGCCCAGGCTCAGGATTCTTGTACAGCTCGTTTGTTTCGCTAGAACCATTATCTGCTTTGTTGGCTATGTCTGTCGATAAATCAGCTACGTTACATGAACTGGATCCTTGAGTCATATCCTCAGCTTCATCAAGGTTACTAGGTAATTGGTCGGTTACTTCAGCTGCTAAGAAGTTGACATCTGAAAAAACCTCTGGGTCAAATGGAAATATGCCAGTTTTGCGGAACCTGTTTATTCCATTTGTTGGTATACAAGCCCTTAAGTAGCTCTCGCAAAATATTTGGCTAATTTGAAACACTGTCACGGTTCTACCAGGATGATGGTTCAACCATTTTTCTAATGCTTGGTAAATAAACGCTAAAAGGACCCATAACAGCAACGTCCAACGGCTGCAGCTTGTGCGTGCAGTGGGGAGGTAAACACAAGATAGTTACAAAGTTTTCTCTGGCACTTAAAATAACATCGAGATTTCTTGTATGCGATAAATGTCCATCTAATATAAGTAACGCGGGCTCATAAATACTTGACTTTACAAAAGATATGAAATGAGCAAACCACTGCTTAAAAACTTCTGTACGCATCCAACCACTTTCATTACAAGCAAAAATGGTACCTAGAGGAGCTCCGTCTTTTAGTTCGGCCCGCTGAAAATAAGCATTGGGAGTACAAAAATTCCTGCA